TTTGGATTGGGATTTGTGCTGTCTCATGGGTCCGTTCTTTTTTGACGGAACAGGTGAAAGGTGAAAGGTGAAAGGTGAAAGGTGAAAGGTGAAAGGTGAAAGGTGAAAGGTGAAAGGTGAAAGGTGAAAGGTGAAAGGTGAAAGGTATGTGACCATGCTCAACGACGAATTTCTTCCAGCTGTAGCTAACTGGTCGAATACTGACCGAACGTGGTACCAGCATGATGCTGTAATGGGGCGGAGTGATACTGTAATGGGGCTCCACCCCATTACAGCACCGTAGCGCGCAACCGGTTGAATGAACATTTCCCTCAAAGTAGATTGGACGCCGTGGACGAGTTGAGAACCCTGCCCGATAACCAGATCTTAACTCCTTTGGATTTTTTTTTTCCTCTGGGCCGTTCTGAAGAATGCGGTTTGCGCTCAGAAACCCAGGGCAATTCCCAGGGCAATTCAGCAACTCAGGGAATTGTCGATGCTTGAGCGCAAATTAGTGAGGAGTTATGTCGGGAAGTACTCTGGAGAGAAAAAAAGAGTCGAAAATGCATTGAAGTGAATGGACAGCACTTTGAACAACTGTTGGAATTGGTTTTTGTTTTGTGCCGAAATATTAAGTTTTGCAAATAAAAAGAGACAAAAGACAGACAAATTCCGATTCCCTTTTTTTTCCGCCACGGGATGAGCATTTTCAGGATTATCTCCAGGATTACATCCCGCTTTGACCCGTCTGCGACAATGTTAATGTCCGGCCCAGCACGCATCCTCTGAGAAAGAGCCGGAATATTTTTTTTTCCGCATGCAGACAAGATCTGTCGATAATTAATTCTCCAACCCGAAAGAATAATATATTTTCATTAAAATGGCCGACATGAACCAATGAACCAGCAACAAACCATGCGGGTTTTTCGTTCCTGAGGATTTCTGCTTCGATTTCCACTTTTTTTTCGCAGTTTGGCGCTCTCCTGCTTGCCCATCGACGAGACCGGACTCAACCGACTTCTCGAACACAAATTGACTACTGTGCTTTCGAAGATGAGGAGCGGTTTCTACGCCACGTAGAAACCGAACTTTCGAGATGAAATGAGTGACGGTATCGGATCAGAAGGAAAAAGTTATTTTCATCATGGGAAACTCCATGGCTCGCCGAAGATCGATTTCTCGGTACCCGATATGATTAGCTTTCTCTCCTTTCAAATCGGAGGTCAAAAGAATAGCGTAGGTTGCAATGGGAGCCGATTGAGGCTCCCATTGCAACGGAGCCATTCTCGTAGAAGGAAAAGGCCTTCTCTGCCTGATTTCCTCGTGCTTCTCTTTCATCCCCGTTTCCTCGAATGTTCGCTCCCTGCTCTTTGCATCCATGGAGGCACTCGCCACGACCGGGGGAGGACCGGATAATGGGGAACAAGGGGGGAGTGCCTCCGTTGCATCCCCATTCCACGAGTTCATGATCATTGCACTCAGCCACCCAGGTGGCTAAGTGGAACGATCCCACGAAGACGGACCTTCAGAGGTTATATTCCTTTCAACCGGATCAGAATCCGGGTATGAGCCCTTTCTCTTTCTTTTCAGCCGCGATATCTACTTGCCATATGATTTGTGAATGTTGAGGATGTCTTCCTCGGACCCAATGGCCAGAAGTACTTTCAGTCTCCTTCTGCCGGGTTACCTCCTTAAACAGGTCTATCTAGAAATTCTTATGCCTTCCCGTAAGTTGTACGTGGAAAGAGATCGGGTACTGTACGAAAAGTACTCGGTACTGGTTATTTCAGGGCTCCAGGGCGAGAATCTCCGCGTCGACGGTTAGAGTCGCCATCTCGCGTCGATTCCTAGAACCTTTTTTTTTGTTGACATGATAATTCCTTAATTGCTTCGAAACGACTTCGCTCATCCACGAGTGGTCGCCGTGTGCTGAAAATTAATTAGGAAGTTAATTAGGAATTGCCAGCATTCGTAATTAGTTGATTCTCCGTCGAATTCTCAGCTTCGTCCAAGTCTCAACATTTCGACCTTTCCTCGATGTCCTTGGGGAAAAGGTTGGGAACCGATGCCTAAAGGGTAAAAAAAAAAAAAAATTATTCGTCTTTCTCTGCTCTTTCCGTTTGTTTGGGCCTCGCTGGCTGGGAGAACCACTTATCATCCACTTATCATCAATAATTGGCTCCACCCTGAAAAGTTCGAGGGAAATGGTCAGATGTAGCGAGACAAGCCTCCGTTGGTCGATACTTGGAAGCTATTAGAGATGTGGTAAGACATATCCACATTACAAGCCACATTACAAGCCACATTACGAGAACTGAAATCCATTTTTAAAATGTTTGCGTCTGGCTCCTCGAAACATCCAAACCCTAATAAGCAATTGAAAAATTAATGTGGATTTGTTTTTTTTTTATATATAAGGGGAAGAGCCCGTTCAAAATGGGGCGTTATCAACCGAGCTCCCTTTTCGTTTTTCTGTTGAAGCGAAGAGAGGATGACTGAAAGGTTGAAGGGTGGATGGATGAAGGGGTGGATGACTGGTGGTTGGATGACGAAGGGGTGAATGAGGAACGGAAGAGGGGAAGTGGATTGGGGGCATCCTTTCTCGATAGGGGCGGGAGGTCGGACGGAGAGCCCGGGCGTTGGCGGTCGCGTCGCTCAAGATGCTCCCGGTTTTTAAGGAATTGTTCGATCATGTGATTGTGAGGAGGTCGCACGAGACTCTACAGGTGGATGGTTGGGTGTTCAAGCTCCACTATCGGTTCACGGCGGGTCTGCTGGTGGTTTGTTGCCTCCTGGTGGCGGCTCACGATTGGATCGGGAAGCCGATCGAGTGCACGCACGACAAGAGGGACAAGGAGGAGTTCGTGAATGCGATCAACACGTACTGCTGGATTTCGGCCACTTTTACCGTTTTGGAGGGGCAGACCGGGGAGGATGCCGATAAAGTGGTTGGGTTGGGTGTCGGGACGAAGAAGTATCACGCGTATTATCAGTGGGTTCTGTTCGTTCTGTTCCTTCAAGCGATTTTCTTCTATCTGCCGCATTTGGTTTGGAAGTCCATTGAGGGAGGGAAACTGAACTCCATCGTTCAAGGTCTCCATCACTTCAAGGTCGAGGATCGACATCGAAAGGAGGAGCTCCTGGCCGCGTATCTCGAGAAGAGCCTTCACACGCATCGCTTGTGGGCGGGGGGCGTTCTTTCTCTGCGAATCCCTCAATTTCGTGCACGTGCTGCTCGAATTCTTCCTCACGGATTGGTTTATCGGTCGCAAGTTCCTTCGATTAGGGCCGGATTTCCTGGATGACTCGACGACGCTGAGGAAAACGTTCCCGCTTCTCACCAAGTGCGACTTCCACTATTACGGGTCGTCAGGGACGATTCAAAACCTGGACGCGTTGTGCGTGCTGCCCGCGAACGTCGTGAACGAAAAGATCTTCGTCGCGCTCTGGTTCTGGTTCCTCATCCTCGCGGTCATCACGGCGCTGGGCGTTATATGCCGCGCTGTCATCCTCTGGGTGTCCAGTGCTCGCCTCCTCCTCCTTCACGTGCATGGTTGCGAGAGGAAGACGGTGGAGGATGTTTGCCGGCGGCTCGACTGGAGCGACTGGTTCCTCCTGCACCAGCTTTTACGGGTCATCGACCCAATGTTTCATCCCGATTTTCTCATCAAACTCGATCGGGCGCTCAACCCTGCCAATCGCAGAGGGAAGATTCTTAAAAAAACAAGTCTTGATGCTTCCTGATTTTTTATTGAGTGGAATATGAATATCGGACATTCAGTCGACTGAGGAATTTGAGTTTTGGGCGCGAAATATTTGAATGTTTTTCGGGACTTTTAAGTAATTCTTGGCGCTCTGTGAGCCGAGAAACTCTTCGTCGTGAATCTGTGAAGAAAAATCCAAGGACGAGAGTGTCTTCTTTGTGGTGCTTGAGCTATAATTTGCACGCATTTTCATTTACATTCAATTCCAGTTGATTTTTTTTTTATTGTACCAGGTTTCGAGAGGCGGGCAACCGCTCCCTCTGTGGTGAAAAATTTTTTTGCAAATGATATATGGCCACCAATGAATTTTATAAATACATTTTTATTATTATTTTGCAAATAGTGGAATATTCCTGTGAATCATATTCAATACTAGCAAGTTTGTTTGCCATTACGGTAAAAAAAAAAACTCGCTATTGGCGCGCCTTCGGCGCTCCATTGACCAGGTTAGTGATAATTTCACTATTTTATTTTCGAAGTTTGTCGGAAAGTGTGGAGTAAATATTTTCATCAAAATATTTACTCAGAGAAGCTCTCAAATATATTCATAACCTGCTCTGATTATGGAGTTTTTGCTCGTGGAGGTTAATTTTTCTGGTTTGGCGCATTTTGTCGTAGAATCTTCTCTCACTCTTTTACTTCCTCCTATTTCTCATATCATAACTTTTTATGTTCATCTTCCTTATGACTTCGTGAAAGGGCCTTCGCTGCAGTCACACAGACGCCATCCGGTCAGATGACAAGGTGAAGTGACCGGTCCAGTTACCGGTCCGGTTACCGGTCCGGAAACCACCCTCGTTACCAGGTTACGTTACCTTCCGAGGCGGTCTGTGAAGTTTTTCGGCAACCGATAAAATACCGCAATGATTCTACCGTTGGAAAATGTTAGACAGGCATGCCCTCTTGGGGTTTCCGGCATAAATCCCAGCTGGAGAAGATTAACTCATGCGCTTACTGGCGATTCCTCGAAATGTAATCCCCGGAAAGCCTGATGAAAATTCTGATTGAAGTACACTTTCATCGTCTTTCATCGTCTTTCATCGTCTTTCATCGTCTTTCATCGTCTTTCATCGTCTTTCATCGATGCTATCTCTGAAGCATTCGCTCCAAATGGAAACCCCCCCCCCCGTCTCCGCCCCCCCCTCCCCCCTTTTCGAACAAGAAAACACTTGGTAGAACACTGCACGGGACGAAAAATTCCATGCTATCCTCTGATACTATGCGCCACCGGCTAAACATGGCTAAACATGACTAAACTAGTAGCTGGCTTAACATGCGTCACAGCAGGGAACTGGGACAGACAACTTTTGTGATCAGGGACATTTAACCAGACTCCGGCAAATTGCCTTTGAACTTCCCTGTTTAGAAAAACAGGAAACCTCAACCGAGGCCTCCATAGAAATTGAATTATTTCCAGGATAATATGATAATTTTAAATAAAAAAAAGGAGATAGAAGCAATGAAGGAGAAGGCGTTCACCCGAACAGATCCCCAGCCTATCTGGCTCTGGGACGCCAGTTCAGCAGAAGGGGGAAAAGAAGGGGGCATGAAGGGGGCATTAAGGGGGGCATTAAGGGGGGCATTAAGGGGGGCATTAAGGGGGCCATGAAGGGGCCAAGAAGGGGGGCCATGTGTGGCTCTGTCGGCTTCCGGCTTCCGGCCAATTTTCTCTTTCCCAGCCGGGAAGGCGCCATCACATTTTTTTTTAATGTTTAGAAAATGGTATATTACTGGTGGAAAGACTGACCTTTCCTGTCGAAAAATGGGGCAGACCACGTGACTGCATTCACGACTGCGAGGGAAAGGAAAGTCTGTGGGATGAGACATGAATATTTGAAAAGGGAGAAAATGTAAAGCAGGTCCGTAGAGGCATTTCCGATTGATGCTGCCATTTCCTGCGGTTGTTCGTGCCGGATCGACTCTTCCGCAATCTCTTGGAATGCAAATCCGTTCATACCCTTGCAAAAAGAAATGTGGGAAAACCGTACCAAAATTATTAAATTAGATTAAGAGATTAGACTAAATTAGATTAAATGATTAAATTAGGAAATTAGATTAAGCAGGATCATGCTTTTTCTCTCGCTTGAGAGAAAAAGCATTCCTCGGCATCATCATTATCTCACCTGGCTTTTTTTTGTGGCTTTTTTTCGGTATTTTTCTTTCCCTTTTCCGACTTATTTCTCCCAATCTCTCTTCCACCTCCCTTGACTCTTCAATAATGCAGTTGAATACGAGCACGAAACAGACAAGCCATAGAGAAAACTGCTTTCTCGTAAAGAGGGATAAAAAATTCATCAGCGACGATGAATTTTTCAAAACGTTTCTCCCTTCCATCCTACAGCGGTTTTTTTTAAACATTATTCTCCAACTCTATTCCCTTTTTATTATGCTCATACGCTCTTTCGTGCTGGAGTTTCCCCGTGCCCCTTATGTGAAAATTTTTGATACAATGAGGTAGCATATTCTCGCATGATTTGCAACGCGTAATCTAAACTTTAAAATGTCTGCATGATAAGCATTTTAATGGGTCACTTAACAAAATAAGAGAGATGGAAAGGAGCAAGCACCAGATTGCCTCGCAGGCTCACCGCTTCACCTCAAATGAAGGCGTGAATGTCATGTCATGTCATGTCATGTCATGTCATGTCGTGCCATGACATGTCAGACCCATGCAATGTCAGACCCATGCAATGTCAGATGACTCTCAACATCCTCTCAGTCTCGCCACAACAGAGGAGGCAGGCCGGGAGACTGAGAGTGTCTTCTCGCCGCTCAAAACCCAATTCCCAAGCCTTAGGACGACCAATAGTCCTACAATACCTACAATACTGATACCTACAATACCATTGTAGGTATCGTTTACCTGAGAGTAATTGCCGCACTTCAAATGAATTCGGAATTCAGGTTCAGAATGTATTACACGAAATATACTGTCCTCCTGCATATTTTGTTTCGATTTTAGGCATTGAAATCCAACGTGTTTTTCTTCCTTACATTGACGATGACATAACAGGCCACGCAGCGGCAGGCGCCAACATGTAACAGCAATTTCAAGATTTCCAGAAGCTACTTCTGAAATTGTTACTGGAAGGAATGGTAATCAATTTTCCTCACATTCATCACCGGAAGAATTCAATAAAAACATGACGGTCGGTCCTGGCACACACTTTCCCTGCAAACATCTCATTCGCAATGATCATTTATGGGTTCCCTGTTTTAAAGGCCTCCTCCAAATCCTTGTGGCCATTACGATGAGCGGCTAATGAGCTTCTGATTAGAACAAACTCCATGCTTCACGATTTCATTTCATGATCATTCAGATATGAGGTGTGGAAAATCGTTCTTTCGATGCCTCATCAGCAGATGCATCTAGCCAAAAGCGAATGCATCGTTGGAGCCATTAGCATATGCATTATGAAATTTCAGAAATCTCTTTTTTAAATTTTTTTTAAGGCATACAACATTTCCCAATGAAGATTTCCAACAGATTCATGATGATGCAATTGTGAATTTTCCTCAAGAAAAATTATTTTTAAAAAATGAGAATGAAAATGGAGCATTTCCCATTCCGAATACAACATTGCGTCAATGTGCAAGCATGAAGATCGCTGCTTCGACACTTGGGAAGCTGGCGGAATTTCAAACGAGGAGACGCAGAGAAAGGGATGCAGATGCTAGTCATCGCATGTGAGGATGTTCGGTTCCTATATTTCCAACAGCTATATGTAGTAATGTGAAAACCAATTTTCAATGGTTTTACCTTTCTTCAACCCTCAACCTGAAATCCCTCTTCCCCCCTCTCTCAACGGAACTCACTAACATTAGGCCCTGGCCTAACCGACGGACGGTCTTCGGGCCAGGCCTAGCCCCACTTTTTCTCGTTTAAAAGAAACTCAATCCTCGACCTACGGACCAATTAGGCCCATAAGGAATAATCCCTGGTCTTCGAGGACGTGGAACGTTAGGCCAATCGCAGGCCTATTCAGTCTCTCATGGCCCATTTAACAGAGAACGTGTAACGTTATACAGGTAATTTTCCAGCTTCATGAACCATTTCGGTCCGGACAAGGAACGTTAGGCCTATCCAGAGTTCCTGAAACCGCCTCGACTCGTTCCGAGAAGAAATGCCTTTAGAGATTGTGACATACAGTTGGCCGCCATTGTGTTAATTTACGGTTGTCCGAATGAGATGTCTCCACATCACACCAAATCGATCAGCCACTGCTAGCTTTCAATCTCAGCTCATCTAATGAACTCGACACGAAACTATCTCATTTATTTAAAAAAAAAACAGAAGATCCAGACACTTATATTAAGGCCGAAGAGGTCATGAATCTGGCCTAACTAAGGCAGGATATCCGGCAACACTGGAGGCCGGGACGGGAGCCATCGCGCCAAGCCTAAATTAGCGGCTAATTTCTAATTTCGTCTAATTCCATTTTTTAATGGCGAAATGGGGCACTGGAAGCAACAAAATTTACCCTGGGGTGGGGGGAGAAATAAAATAATAATAATAAAATAGAATAAAAGTGATTTCCACAATCCCGGGGAGATGGAGCTTCAAATTTGCTGGAGCGATTTTGCGTCGAGGGAGGAAGATGTAAGCCAAATTTTGTCGCTGTTGATTCTCTCTGAGAGGAATGCGAGACGGTTGAATTTTGTCGCCGGAAGGGGTTCAAGAAAGGTAATCGGCGAAGCCTTTACTTACCTTTCCCTTTCTTACCTTAGCCTACCTTTCTTCGCCGTCTCAAATGAGACATTCTCGAAGTTATGCGAGAGCAAGACAGTTTGGAATGCCAAGGAGTCATTTGTCTTTGTTCCATTGCCAAAGGTGATAAAGTCTCGAGCAAATAAAGGCTTTTAAAGGAC